ATTATACTAATTATAATTAATTAACATAATTAAAATTAACATTAATTAAAAATTAATTTTAATTAAAATAAACTAATTAATCTCTCCCTCTCTCTCTCGGGTTCGACGGGTTCAATGGATTTGGCCGAAGGAACACGTGAAGGGTAGAAAGTTACCTTCACAGCCACGAGTTCCTGTTGTTGCTGTCGATCAAAATGGTGTAACTTCCGATTCAACAGGAAGGGCAAGCCGCAGAAGGAGCTAAGTCGACCGGTCACAAGGAGCCTTCACAGCCGCAAGCTCCTGAGTTGCTTCCGATCAAAATGCAATAACTTCCGATCTAAATGTCGTAACTTCCGGCCGAACAGGAAGGGAAATCCGTCGAAGGAGCAAAGCCGAACTGCCACGAACGGAGCCGAAGGAGCGACGTCGACCAGCCACTGAGGCGCCTGGAGGAGCAAAGTCGAACGGTCTAGAGGGAGCCAGAGAAACGACGAGCTCCGGCTATTGATCCCGATCAAATTGTCGTAACTTCCGGTCGAACAGCAGGGGAACGTCGTCGAAGCAGCGAAGTCGGACCAGCCACGAAGGAGACGAAGAAGAGGCGAGCTTCGTTTCTTGCTTCCGATCAAAGTTCGTCACTTCCGATCCAATTGGAAGCGTCGTCGGAGGAGAGGAGTCGCACAGCTACGAGGGTGTCGAAGGAGAGAGTGAAAGTGAGAGACAAGAGCGGGAATGAGAGAAAGAGGCCTTCGGCCTCTTTTCCTTGGCTCTTTAACGACACGAGGTCGTGCGTGAGGCGACTTCGACGTGCGAAGTGCGGGATGTGCGCGATTTGGGCGGCGACGACGTGCTGAATTCGGCGCTCTAACGTGGCCGGACATGTATGAGATTATTTTATTTTATTTTATTTTATTTTGTTTTATACAGCAGGTCAACATGTAGATTGTTGTGGAGGGATTTATGGGGAGATTAGGGAGATAAATAAGTTGAGGGATAACTATTTTCTCTCTCTTTCCCCCCTTGCATGGGCAGCCACCGTCATTGAATAATTTATTTTGTTTTAATAACAAAGTCATATGGATATAAAATTTTCAATTTTGATTTATCAACTTTGATTACAATGCCTCTTTTTCAGTTTTTCTTAATGTAGTTTAGGCTAGCCCCGATGTGGTGAATCATTTAGATTCATCATACAGTGCAGTCTTTTCCATAACTACATCTTGATGGCCTTGTAGATTGGTGCCTTGACAAATTATTTTAAATCAGTGACCAATTTCTATTAAAAAGCAAGGTGATGTAGATTATTGTGGAGGGAGTTAGGGGGAGATTTGGGTTATAATTAAGAAGAGAGGATGTTGTTTTTTTCTCTTTCCTCATTGCATGGGCGGCATCTGTCATTGAATAATTTATTATTGTTTTAATAAGAAAATCATATGGCAGTACAATTGTCTAATTTTGATGAATTGACGTTGATTACAATTTTTTTTTCTTATTTTAGTTTATGCTAGCCCTGATGTGGTGAATCATTTATACTCACTTGTTATTGAACTGGTGATGCGGACACCAGTACGAAGATTTGGCGCATCTATCACAGGAGGCGTCGTAAATCGACGACTATAATTTAAATCTTCAATTATGAGTTATTTTTCTAAATTTTAGTTCTTATTTGATGTATTTCCGGTTTTACCCCTAGGTTGGTGTTGTGGCCTAAGGGGCAATGTTGTATTTTGAGTTTTCTTATGTTGTGGCCTATATATAGGGCCTTAAGCTATTGTAATAGGGATGGATGATTGATATTAAAAATTTGTGTTCCACACTTGTGTTCTTGGGAGAGGATGATAGTGAGATTCCTATGGGAAGGAATCGGAGTTTTCACCAGCCGCAGGATGGGTCCGGGCTCGTGACTTGAAGTCCCTTGGAGAAGGGCAAAGCATCACCCGTCAGTATTCGGAAGAGTCCAAGGCTCGCGGTTTTTATCCTGTATCTTTCGTTTTTATCTCTTCTTTGTTTTGTTTCGTTCCTTCTTATTGTTCCTAGCCGTCGTCGTCATCCTCTACCTACGTCCACCATCGTCGTCTCCTTTTCCTCCATAAGCCGCCGGCCACCTGTCTAGAAAATCCTCCCAACCGCCGGCCATGGCTCCCTAGCCGCCGGCCACCTCACCCCCTCCTCTTCCCATGGCCATGCCTCTTTCCAATTTGGGTTGGCAAAATCGCGAGAGAAAATCCATGACAACTTTGGATTTCAAATTTCAAATTTGAAATCTTTCCTAATTGAATTTGATCCATATTTGGAAGGTTTTAACTCTCCAATTCAAAATTCAAATTTGAATTGCAAGGTGATGAGTCATTAATCCCTCCAAATTAAATTAGCCTTGTTTGGAAACCCTCATCAATCTCTCCCTAAATTCCCACCCTCATGATGCCACCGGCCCCTCCAATAAATCCACTTGGATTTATTTCCAAACTTCCTCATCTTTTCTCCTTTCCCCTTGAGTTTCCTAATTGGGTTGGAGACTAAAGTTGGAAAATTCTGAGATTCAAATTCATTTAAATTTGAATTCAAATTCTTTCCTATTTTAACTCCCCTATTTTAGGAAAGTTTTAATCTAAATCCGTTTGAATTTGAAATTTAAATTGGATTAGGTTATTTACTTTCCTAATTCCTAAAACCCAATAAAGAAGCCTTAAATGCTTTCATTAAATCCCTCCCATATCCCTTAATGCCACCGGCTCCTCCTGCTTGGTTTTGGAATTATTTCCTAAAACCTCCACTTTGTTTTAGGAAGTGATTTCAATTCTCCTTGATCTTTGCTGGTTGAATTTTCCGACCCCCATGTATTAATTTATTTTCTAACTCCACGTAACAGCTTAGGAAATAAATTCCCCCCTTCTACCAGAATTTTCTCTCAGGTTTTGAATAAAAACCTGAAGCTAAACCATTACTTTTCCTTGGAAATATTTCCTCTTTCCCACCAGCCGTGATATTCAAAACTCAAGCCTTTAATTACTTCCCTAGGCTGAGAGTGGAATAAGGAAATAAATTCCCTAATTCTCTTTACATCCCGCCGTTCCCCCCCTTCCCTGGATTTTCCCTGAAATCTGTCCAGATTTCATTGGTTCCTCTTTGGGAAAAGATTGGGAATTTCAATCTGCTGCCGGCCGAGTCGTCCAAAGCCCAGAATCCTGAGATTTCTCTCAGATTTTGGCTCCAAAATCTGAATTTATTCTCAGGCTTTTCTCCCCTGCTGGCCGAACTCTTCCCCAAGGCTCCTGTGCTGTTTTTCCTCTACAAACTCCTCCCAAACCCTATCCTACGTTGGATTTCCTGCTCTCCAAAGCTGCTGCCAGAAAATTCCTGCAGTGGTTCTTGGATTCTCATCAACTTGAAGCTTCAAAACTGCTGCTGTCCTGAAAATTCCTGCAAAGGATCCTCTCCCTAGCAGAGCCTCCTACCCGTTCTACATCAACTGGACTAGTGTTAGCCCAGCCCAATGCTAGAATAGCCTCCTTGATCACATTCAATGCACCAAAGGGCTCAACGCATAGCCTCATCCATCTAGATTCAATACACCGAAGGGCTCAGCATAGACCAAAGTGCTCAGCATAGTCTTATTCCATCCAGATATCTTATGGGTTTAAATTTATGGCAGATAAAATATATGTTGTATGTACAACCATGGGTGCGGTTGCCGTTTTTTGCTTGCAGCTGAATTTTTCTCATATAATGCATAAAAGCAGCATAGAATTGGTTTGATTGTCAAATACAAGCGTATGGTGGACCTATTTATTTGTTTCAAAAGCAGACAACATGAAGGGACTTGGTTATTTCATAATTATGATAGACAGCTTTTTTTTTCGTAGTTGTCAGAAAGGGATGGTATAAGTGAGAAATTTAAAATATGCTTCTTTTGGTTGTTTCTACTTATGAGTGTAGTATTCTTTTGATCGAACAAAATTATGGATCAAAAGTTGTTATTTGTGGAATTTGTGCCCATACAAGGCTTAAACTCCCATGTTACCTTAGTTCCACTCCTGATTCCTTATGATTTTTTTTTCTTTATGCATTCAGGATATCAATCTAAATCGAAGCATAAAAGATGCATTGGCCAATGAAGAGACATTCTTTCGACGTCAGCCTGTACGTGATTAGCAACTTGATGAATTTGACTCTCACAGTTACTAAGATAGCCATCCATGACTGGTATTTTTTATAATCTTCAAATCTAAGCTTAACACCTCTGTTGATTAGGTATATCATGGTCTCTCTCATTGTTGTGGAATTCCTAAATTAGCTAAGAAATTGAATCAGGTGAGCTCCATTTGCCAATCCTTTCGTTGATCTTCTTTTTTATGTTTTGTCCGGGCAAAGTTTACTGCAAATTGTTAGTAACTTGCTATTTGTTTGCTATTCTTGTTTCAACTTTCTGAAATCATATCAATTTAGTTGCATTTTCTTGAATTTTTAAAGTTTTTCATTCATAAGATAATTAGTTTTTCCACCAAAATTTAATTGGCTTGCTATTTGTTTGCAATGATTCATCTCTCTTCAGATTTTGGTGCAACATATCAGGGCAGTTCTTCCGGGATTGAAGTCTCGCATAAATTCCCAGTTGGTGGCTGTGGCAAAAGAGCATGCTGCCTATGGGGATGTTGTAGAATCAAAGGTATGACTAGTACTAGATGCTGCACATTCAACTTCAATTTTTAGAATTATGATTTCATACTTAGCTTAGCAGAATGTCAGATTATTTCATGGGGATGTCTATCACCCTAACCATTCCGAACAGCTGTTTGATTTAAGTATTTAACGTCATGATAAATCCATTATGATTTCCTTTTGGATGTAAACAGTGGCCGTGCATTTGATTTGTCTTGGTATCCCCCTTCACGAAGTAATTGTGATGAGTTTGGTTTTAGTAGAAACCAATCAAAGTAATCCACTTATTTGGGGAATAACACTAATTGCGGTGAAAAACATTCCATTAAAGTTATCTAAGAATGAGTTTTTTGATATTATGTTTAGATTGTTAAAACCACATTAGCCAAGCTATTGAGCACGCCTTCATATAAATTATAATTTAACTGACGAACATACTTTTTATATATGTTTTGTTACTTCATAAGCTCACCGTAGTAAGGAAAAAAAAAAAAGAAATTCCACACGCTTTTTCTGTTCTGTTATGGTAGCACAAGGCTTCAAAAACACAAAATTTCTTTTACCCGAAATTGCGATTCATGTTGCTTTTCCCTGCTGCAGGTAAATAGTGCTGAAAAGAATTTGTTGAAAATTGAACTAAAATGCAGAAAGGAAAAATTTATGGGAAGGCGAATTAAATAAACTTTCAGGCTGGATGCCTAACAAAATAAGAAAGGATCTATTGAAAATAATTATGTTAGAGGGATGCTAGAATAGTAATTATTGAAGATAAGATATTGAAAAAAAATACTTACGTGATTTGGACATGTATAAAAGAGACATTTCACCATCTAGATGGGTAAATAACATTAATGTTGAAAGGTTAAGAAAGAAGTGGTTGGAGTCCCGAAAGAAGTGGTTTGTTGCCTTCATTGTGTGATTTGAAGGTAATTGGTTGCAGTCTGGCTTCAAATTCAAAGGTAATTTTGCGTTCATCAACACTATCTAGGGCCTGCATTTGCTGTTCTGCATTCATTAATACTATCTAGAACTTGCGTTTGCCGTGTATGTGTTGTTTTAGAATAGGTGTAACATCTCATGCAACATTCAACATAAACGAATGGAGGATAGGATTTATAACCAATCCCATGGTTTCTTTTTGGTATCGTCATGGGCTAAAAATGCACTGCTGAGGGCTTAAGTTAGGAGTGCGTGGAGAGGAGGATGGAACTAGAAAGGCCCTTTAAGTAAACTTTCTGGGCAAGATGCACTGGCAGGCACCTTTTGTTTATAAATACGCACAAGATCTTAAATTCTTAAATCTCCATGCTCTTTTTCCAACCATCGTCTCTGCCTAGCTGTCCTTGTTTTTCATGTTGTTCTATTGGAGCACCTTATGTTATGACTTGAATGACAGGGCTGGTCCTGGCTGTATAATCACATGTTATATGTCCTTTTGCAGGATAAAATGCTGTTTTGAGTTGCAATTATTATCACTAAATCACTTATACTGAATCATACATATTGCTATTCTTACATGTGATTTTGTTAACTGGCGCATAAAAATACATTTATGTTGGAATATCATCAAAGCAATATTTAAGGCTGCTGTTTTATGTGTAAAAGGAACTTTTTTAACTGATTGATGAATTATGAATTTGCAGCATGTTGACGTTTATTTACGTGTCGAGCCTGATTCAGACTAGATCGAGCTACTTCGAGCCCGATTAGGCTTGATCGAGTGTCGACGAATCAAAATTAACTCAAATTGGACCTAAATTGATTCAAATTAAACCTAATTTTATCAAATTAAAATCAAATCAATCGGATTGAGCCAAATCGAACCCAAATCAGCCTCGTCGAACCAAATTCGATGTAATTCAGCGCCTATTCGAGTTCAATTTCGCAAAATTGACCCGATCAGACCCTAATTGACCCAAATCTATTCTAATTAGAACCGATTTGGACCAAATTCTAACCCAATTGATCCAATTCATGTTCAATTTAATCCCAATTATAATCCCAAATTGGCTAAATTGACTTTTTGGTCTTTTCTCATCATTTCTCCAAATCAGAAAATCGGACCAAGCAGCTAAAATTGAATATGCGGTTGCTCTAGGCCTTTTCTCCTCTTCTTTCCACGGCTGTTGCAAAGAGATCACGACAAAATTCTCTTATCTTGCAACAGAACTACAATCGAGCGGGGTGCACTTGATTTTGTGTATAGGAGAAGCGCGAAAGGGCATTCAAGACTTATTCTACTTCTGGCGTGCGGTTCTATCTAGTTGAGTGAGGCATGAACCTGAGAGAAGGGAGTCTTCTGCTTGCGTGCTCGTGCGACTGAGGTCTGAGAGGGAGAGAGCGAGCGAGAGTCTGCGGTTTGTGCATCCAGACGAGCAGATTAGAGAGCTTAGAGAGAGGAGAGATTATTATGCGTGGAGTCCAGACACAGAGAGCAGTTCGGTTTTAGTGTGTACGGTAGGTATCCTTAGACATTGCGGCTGTGAAATCTTCAATCCCATCACGCCAGAGAAAGACATGTATGGGTCTTCGGTACCTATTTCAAAAGAAAAGCAGTTGTTTTCCCGTAGGTACAGAGTCGCATACGGGTACTTAAGATTGTTCCCACCATGCTACGAAAAGCTTGTATAGGGCCTACCCGCCTCGCCAAAGGTGTCGCACCGGGTTCCCTTCCCACCACGCTAGAGAAACGCGTGTATGGGCGGTTTGCCGACTCGACACAAAAGTCGAATGCTGGATTTTAAATTTAGAAAATTATACCTTGGCATCCGACGAGGTGGAGGGCACGAAAATCGAGACAACCACATCTTTTTTCACTTTTTTCCTTATTTTGTGTGTGTGTGTGTATATATATATATATATATGGCTCGATTAAGGTGTAGATGGATGAGGCTCTGGACTACTTGCGGCTTGAGGAGGCGTGGCCGTAGGGATTAGACAGGGAGTGGCGACGTTATCTGGAGATCGGGTGCAAGTTCGGCTATGGAGATTAGTGGAGTTGGACAAGGGAACTCTGGCGTCGAATCAGGAAGAGGGAAGGCTACTAGATTCGACGAGTGGAGCTTGGCGGTAGAGGTTGAATGCTTACAACTAGGGGAAATCGCGAGCATGTTAGATCAAAGGCGACTAGGACAGGTCACAAGGCTTGTTGTTTGTTTCGATCGAATGAGACCTTAAGCCAGGTCATCGAAGCAAGTTTGATGAAAGGAAGAAGGTTAGTCGGATAGGTATGTGGGAGATCAGTGAATGGAGGAGGAGATAGGGTTGGAAGGGCTTCGGCCTGTGTTGCCTTGGGTCGATCAGCCTATAAGAGGTGGATTGGATGGGATTGGGAGGAGATCCAGGCGTTGGAGCTTGCGAATAGGGAAGAAACGAAGAAGAAGAAGAAGAAGATCCGGGCTGGAGCTTGTACGTGGAAGAGGACCCGAGCTAGAGGCCTTCATTTCTCGTTTTATCGACACGATCAGGAACTTAGAGACAACGACAGTGCACATGATGGATAGGCAATTGACATTCGACGCTGTTCGCAGACTTGGGACGCGACACTATAGTAGGCGGTATGATTTTTTGCGGGATTTGCTGTATGGGCTCGGCATGTCATCATCTTATCCCCTTTTTATTTCATTTCTTTTGGGTTTAGTTACAGAGGTCAACAAATGTTTACATTTCAATTTTGATTGATTTTATATAAAAAGCATATGTTGATTGTTTACTTGATTGCGTAATAGAAAATACATGTTTTTCTTATGTTTCTTCTTTGTTTTTGCTTAGGGATGGCCCGGACTTGTTTGATGCGGTAGGCTCTTAGAGAAAAAATTAAGATTTTTATTCATTAAAATGTAAACAATCTTAAAATCAATCATAGAGAATCTTTCTAATATAAGAAAAAGATGCATTGCTCCTTTTATGGAACAAAGTTTTCCAAAATTGAAAATTATAATGCATAACCAGCGTGTCATATATAGAAAAGCTCTCGCTTAAGGATTAGATAACAAAATCTATTTTCTTTGTGAGTCAGCATTGTGCCTACCCACATGTTAGGCATCGCATCTTGGCCTAAAAGCCAAGCTGTAAGCCCTCTAAATAAAAATAACCTTTCCTACTCTACATATGCATTTGAGATTGAATTTCATTGTTTTAAAAACAATTAGGTGGGTTAGTTGGTAGCTCTTTCCATGCAGATTAGTAAATCCAAATGTCAGGCTGGCTATGCTTCATGTGAGGTGGAATTTGTAAGTTCGTTGTACTTCGTTGACTTAGGTTCGAGGCACTACCCCTCAGTATTCCTTACCTTAGTTCTAGGGTTTGAGATAGATGTTGACTTTAGTCACTTCATTATCTATCATCTTTCGAGCATTTCCTCCAACATGTGTTGGAATATAAGCCTCAATATTCTAAATTAAAATGATCAACCTAAATAAAATTTGATTCTAAAATGTAAAGCCCAACATAGAATAGTTTGAATACCTCTGAGTTTTCCCTCAGATTCAAGTACTCCTACACTTCGCTCATTTAGATGTCATTTTCAAGAAATCTAATTTAAAGTTGATCCCTTTATTCTTGAAATTCCTAAAGAGCAAAATCTTTAAACAAGAATTTCATAAATATCAAAATGAAGATCTTTAGCCAATAATTGATGATTTTCAAAAGAAAGGAAACCACTAGTTTAATCAAAAGTTTTCTTAAGTACTAAATGCCTGAGATATAATTAACCATAGGAGTGTGCCCCTATAGGACATCTGGACCTCATAATAAAATAAAACATAGTCAACCAATTATTGAATGAGAGAAAATCTCTATTTAAATTTCAATGTGGTAAATTTTTATCATCGAGTCCATAGGAAAATTGTATTTTTATCCTTTGGGATAATATATCATTTTTTATGCCGTGCTTGATCACAAAATATGTAATCTGTTAATGATGACAATTTCTCCTACACATCATTTTTGCAGTAGGATGATAAAGAAAGTTCAATGGAAATTACCATTTTTTTCCATCACATGGTGAATTTGATCCTTAAAAAGTGACTTTTCATATATATCTGTAAGGGGATTGACATGCATCGTTCTAGTATTCATCAACATCATCATTATCAATTTGAGCTCTTTTTTGTTTTAAGCTGTTTTAGTTTGTTTGCAGGAAATGTTTTGATTTTTTTGTCTTTCTTCATGATTTCTGAAATTCTGAAAGGAAAGGTGACTGAAGCTTGTAATAGGGGTTATTGATAGGAAATACTTGATTTTAAGTATTTCCTACTCACTTTTACAACAATTCTCAAAGCAAGCTGCTGTCCACAGCAGGAAAACAGCCAAAACAGTAGAAAAGCAGGGAAAAAACTGAGAGAAATTTGGAGAAAAGATTTGTATTTTACTAGTAGATGCAAGGAAAATAGCAAAGATACAAGGATCCTCTATTCGAGAGGAGGATCGCACTCTTCCAATCTCTAGAATTCGATCTAGAGCCCTAGCCACCAAAGAAGAACAAGAAAACTCAAAACAAATTTCACATAACCCTAATCTATCCTTTTCTCCCTACTTAATGCATACAATTCAAAAATAACATGAAAGGACCTAATTGCCCTTGCTTCCACTTCTTTTGGCTCCAAGATTCAATTTGAAAAACAAGTGGACCCCACCCTATTTCCTCCCTGCTGTTTCCAGCTCCCTGCTGTTTCCACCGGCTTTCTTCTCCCGTAAACGAACAGAGCCGGCCCAATGGATTGGGCCGGCTGGACCGGTCCTCTATGGACCGGTCTAACAGTTATTTCTCTGCAAAACTGAATGTGTAAACTTAAAGCATTATTCCAACTCACAAATGTAAAATTTACCAAAAAATTATTTAATATTATTGATAATCTTGGTATAATGCATCCAAATTGCTAGGATTATGAGTCATTTTGGTTTGCTATTCGTGTTATTTTTTCCACAACATTAGGGAGCTGGAAAACAGCATTAGCTTAGGTTTTCTCTTCCCCACAAAAAAGTACTTTATCAGTCATCATCATCGTCATCATCAGTCTTGTCTAAACTATTTTGCGGTGGCTTTGTTGATCATCATTTTTTATTCTTCCTTGCTAGGTGCCACGGGAGGTGTTAATCTTTTTAGGTTTGCAAAATATATTGTAAATAACTTTTAATCATATTATTGTTAGTATATCATCATCCTTTCTGATCCTCTAACGCTAATTTTGCCTGCATGATCATTTGGCTCTAATTTTTTCTTCCTATATAATTACTTTTTGAGTAGTTTGCACAAATGTTGTGACTTTTTTGATCTGGTGGATCATTTAAGTCATCTTGTTCCATGATCCTCTTTTGGTTCTTGAAACAAAACTCAGGTTTGTGGCTTACAATGGTTAATTGTATGCTATTTTATTGTCAAACCGTTTGTGTGGAGTTTAATTTGTTCCCGTGGTATGAGTTAGAATTTATTAGTGGTATTATTGTCTTTCCAAGTTGAATTTTCTTAGATTCCAGGGCATCGCTGGGCATTTTCCTTCTTATTCATACGTAAAGTTACTCACGTTTTTAATTACCATCATTTTTTTTATCTTCATATTCCATATGGAGGACTGGTATTGAAATTTTGTTACTCATATGTTTCTTTTGTGTTTGAACCGTGTAACAACGTTTCTTCTGTATGGTTTCTTGCTACAGGCTGGACAGGGTGTGAAACTTTTGAACATTCTTACGAAATACTGTGAAGGTAATGATGAAGATTTTTTGATATTCTTTAATCTTGTAATAAAAAAATTCTAATCTTGTTGAGCTAGTCTTGTGCCATGAAATGTCTCATGTATGCCTCATGTAAATCTTAATTATCTGGAAGCTTGAATATGTAAATGATATTCTTTTTATATCACTTCTTTACTTGTATGTTGGCTGCAATATGGATAGGATCCTAGGAAGATTAATCATCAAACTCAGATAATAATGCATTACAATTTAATTATCTGATTTAGAATAATTCCTTTTTTAAAGTAATGATGACTTTGTTGGAGCCCTATTAACTTATTAGACCATCTATAGAGATTTTATACTCTAGAATTGTGGGATCCAAAAATTCATGCCTGGCTCTCGTTGATCTAGGTTAAACTTTTAGAAGGCAGATTAAATAGATAAGACAATCTTAGATATATGTCACCCTCATTTGCGAGGACTTTATGATAATTTTCTAGGTTTAACTCCTATGTTTAATTACCCTCTTGATGATGAGAGAGAATTTTCGATTAATGCTATCTGAGAGGCGCTAAATGCAAAGTCTATATTGCAACAATTTTGGTTTAGGATAAATGAAATTTATCAACTTTAGTTTGAAGTGGATTGTGGGGGATATTGATAGACTTAATTAAGAATTTAAGATCACATGGTTTTGTCATCACAAGTTATCATAGACCCTGGTTTACTTAGCTAATAAACCCAATTTGACCAAATGATCCTTATTGCCAGTCGTGGGTTATATGAATTCTTTTTCTCCATTGTGCGTTGTAAATTTTTTTTATTTTTTATTTTTTTTATTGCGTTGTAAGTTAAATTCTCAATTAAATCTAATAAAGAAAGGTCATTTTTAATATTTCTAACCAAGCCTTTTTAGGTCTACCTCTACCCTTCTTAATATAAGTCAAATCTAATATATCTACTTTCCTAACCGGGTCATCGGAAGACAACCATTTTATGTGACCAAACTAGGGGTGCAAACGAGTTGAGTCGACCTTGAGTCAGGAGGTGTTCGAGATCGACTCGCGAGTCAAATACCGAGCTCGAACTCGAGTAGAGCTCGAGCTGGACTCGCGACACATAAATGAGCTTGTCGAGCCGCTCTAGTTCAGTTTCCCGCTCGCAATTTGCCTTTTTCTCACCCATTTCTCGGCCAGCGGGCCAGCGGTGTGCAGGAGAAAAAATATCTCGGCCAATGAGCCGACGATGTTGCAGGCTTGCAGCGGGCACGTTTTTTTATTTTCTATCGTATAAAAAGACTTGTCCTTTGCGTTTTCCTGTGGATAAAGCAATGAAACATTTCCCAATATTCTATTCCAGCCGCTGATCTGTTGCTTTTTCCGGTGGATAAAACATTTAACTCAAGTTTTTTTTTCTCTTGGATAAAACATCTAACTCATTAGCATTTGACAGCTCTTGGGAACATATCCCATATGAAAGCTGTTGACTGGAGATGCAATTTTTTTTTAAAATTAACTGCAACCATTTATTTTTAGATTTAAAATTAATAAAAATAGTAATTACTTAATTTTATAAAAAAAAAATTATTCGAGCCGGCATGCGAGCTCAAGCTCGAACTCGAGCTCGTTTACTAAACGAGCTTGAGTTCGACTTGTGAGCCCGATAAGCTCGGCTCACGAGCTCATAAATGAGTCGAGCTTGAGCCGGCTCGGCTCACTTGCACCCCTAAACCAAACCATCTAAAACGACTCTTTATAATCTTATCTTCCATTGGAGCCACTCCAACCTTTTCACGTATATGCTCATTTCGTATCCTGTCTCTAAGAGTAAAGCCACTCATTCACCTAAGCATCCTCATCTCTGCAACACTTAACTTAATATTATGCTTCTCTTTAAATTGCCAGCATTCTGCACCATAAAGCATTGCAGGTTTAACCACCATATTATAGAATTTTTCCTTAAGTTTGAGGGAAACTTTTCTATCACACAACAAGCCCAATGCATTCCTTTCACTTCAACCATCCAACTTGAATTATACTAATAATATCCTCATCTATTTCACCATCACTCTGAAGAATAGACCCAAGATATCTAAAACTTGCACTCTTATTAATGACTTGATCACCCTAAGTCACAATCCCTCCATTAGAACTATTATTTCTAAAATTATATTCCATATATTCAGTTTTTGATCTACTCAAACGAAAGGCTTTAGACTCTAAGGTTGACCTCCATAATTCGAGTTTACCTTCAACTCTCTCTAGTCTTATCAATAAGAAGAATATCATCAGCAAAAAGCATACTCCAGGGTACAACCTCTTGCAAATGTGTAGTGAGAACTTCCATGACTAAAGAAAAAAGATCTGAATTGTCGATGGACTATTTTGAAGTTCACCCCCTTTAATTTAATTTGTCCCAAGTATTACTAATTCAGCCTATGTTGTGTAGCCAAAAAATCATTGTTAAATTAATCAAACCTAAGATTGATCATGAAAAAGATTAATGTTGGAATCCACAAATTAAGGCCAATAAAGGAAATCATGATCCAACGAAAATATTATGGAAATAAATTAAGACCCCACATATTGATGCTAGGAAAGGGAACCTTGATTTCACGGATACATAGGCTTCGTTTGGGACAGATTTGTTGCTAGATTTATAATTTGATTTTATATATTCAAAATAGGTAGATAATTATTTATATTTGTAAATATGTAGATTTTTTTCCTATTTTGGTGACAAGTTTTTTTTAATATAAATATATATATTTGTTTGTATCAAATATTTTGAATGTATAAGAAAAAGTTACGTATTCTCCTCATGGTATGGTATAACTATATGCTTTTTTTCCCCTATCTGTTATTGTGCCTTGGCATTCATTGTCTTTCTCCCTAGACGTTTCAATGCATACATTCATTACTCGATGTGAAGCATTATTGATCTTATTGTTAGCCGGTGATTATCCTTATGCGATATCTTCCATTACTGTAAACATCCTTTCCAAGTAGCTCTTTTGAAAAACCATAGTTCTTTTAAAAACTTTCATGGCTATGTGTCCTTCCTGCTATTTTTGAGCACCACTTCTTTTGTAACCTCCATCGTTATCACAACTACAATATTATGAAATAAAAAAGAGAAAAATGTTAGAGCAATATTAAAGATTCCACGTGCATGAGATTGGTCAGTTGAGAACATTTTTAAAGGATATGTAGAAATTTTTAATTACTAATTTAGTGGCCATTCATGTGATATTCATGTCTCTATTATATGAAATGCCTCAGATTAAACTTTTGTCAACTATCGGGTCAAGAAATTAGGAGCTACTAATCATATGATTTAGGCTTTTTTTGGAACAGTTTTTTGCCGCTTTCAAAAAAAAATTTTTTGGGTTTTTTTTTAAAATTTTTTTTCCCCTTTTAAAAAAAAAAAAAAAAAAAAACTGTGCGCTTGAAAGCTGTTGTAGAAAGCAGTAAGAAAATTGTCCAAAACGAAACTTTACTCATCGCTTAAATTGAACAAATACTTGTCTAGAAAATAGAAAATTTTTACAGTAGATGGCTCTTTAATGTAGACCAAGTGCCCCAAAATTAAATTATCTGCCATTTCTTTGTGAGCAATGTTTATCCAATAAAGGTAAAATATGACTTTACCATCATAGATTAGGGCATCCATCAGTTATGACTATTAAGATTTCTTTCCTCCCTATAATAGGATAATATATTGAAACCTTCCAGGGTGATGTGGAATCTATAAAAGACAAATGTGCTCCTTTTTTTTTATCTCGGATTAAAGTTCAATTCCCTTTTCCTCTAATCCATATTGATTTTGGTCCCTTCTAATATTGTTAATATTTTTAGTGTAGGTTGGCTTGCATTAATCGTTTTGATGATTACTTCCAAGTTTATTGGGTTTTTATAGTAATCACTGAAACTTGTGAGTTTTGTTCTTCTCAACTTTTATAATGTAGTAAATAATCAATTGAGTGTCAATATCAGACAATTTAAATCTATTAATTTGAGGTATTATTTCAACTAAATCTTGACCCAATGCCTCCAAAAAGAGAAAATGATAAAAATGGTCCCTTGACTCTTTATGAAGGACCAAAATTTCCCTAATTTTATTAAAGGATCATTTTAATTCCTCAACTCCTTAAAGATGAATCAAAATTGTCCAACCATGGGACTATTTTGAGAACGTTGGATTACTTTCTAGGAATTGAAGTCATATAGACTAAGTAAGGAATCTTCATCTCTTAACAAAGGCATGTCACCAACCTTTAGAAAGAAATGAAACAATTGCATGTAAACTACTAAGTACGCTAATAGATCTTAATCACAAACTTGGAGAAGCTAAGGAGGATGTACAATGGTCAAGGAGTGTATCACACTTGGTGGGAAGGCTCATTTCTTTCCACATGTTCACATATAGCTTATGTTATTAGTGTGATCAACCTACTCTTGCACAATCCCAAGGAAATCTACATGTAGACAGTCAAATGAGTATTACAGTACTTGGAAGTAACTCCAATGAAGGAAACTTATTTTCATAGAAGCATTGTTCTGCTACTCGAGGCATAAGTTGATGAAAATTATGTCGTGCCTATTTTAGAAAAAGGCCAACTTTTGGAGTTTACATTTTACTTTACGGGAATTTTGTAACATGGTTTATTTAGAAGCAAAGTGTGTCAAGATCTAGTGTTGAAGCAAAATTTTGAACAATTATTTGTGAATTATTGTCATTTAAAATATATCTAAAGAATTTTAAAAATTGAATGGAGCTGGATGATAAGACATTATTGCACCATAAATCTACAATCAACATAGCACAAAAAACAGTGTGATATGATTTAACAATGTATAAAGAGATTGATCGACTCCTCATTAATGAAAAGCAAAATGGTGCATTGATTTGCATGCCATTGCTCTATAGCTGACACGTGTGCTTACTAATGAATAAGTAATTGAGTGTTTCAAGCAATTGTATCGAAGATAGGAATGAAAAATCACTAGCTTGAGGGTAAGTATTGGAACTCATAGATTAATGCGAATGAAATAAATCAGTATCCTATGGATTTGTGCCATGAAAAGAGATTAGGATACAACGGATTGATACTAAAGGAGAAAGTCAAGATTGATTTCTTGAAAAATGAATCTCTAGATTTAAAGTTTAATTCTATATTTTCAAAGTAGGGTGTTGGTTATTTGTATTATATAATTGTAGATGTGTTTTTCATTTTGGTGTTGGCTAATATTCTTCTTTTTTATGATTAGTCTATATAATAGCTTGCATCCAATATTTTTTAATTAATGAGATTTTTGTTTACTCCACATTTATTTAAACCCAACCTTGGATTCCCAAGTGGACTAATTGAGACCTACTTAGGTTAACTTGTCCTTGGAAAAGCTGACATTGAGCCCAAATTTTGCCATCAAAGGCTTAATTTAATTAATTAGGCAAAGTTAATTGATCCTAATTTTATTGAAACAAGGTTTAGTTAGCTTAATCATCCATTAGTTTATTAGCCCTAATTGTTGGGTTAACAGAAGTCTAGAAAAGTGACATGCGGTACTGCTTTGGTTATTCTTATATTTTATAGTTAAATGTATGCTAAGAGAATCCAAACTTCCCCATTATTTGGTTTGATGTGCATTTCGTTTTATGTATTCTTCATTAGTTTGTGCCAATTGTTGTCAGAGCACTTTTAGTCAACATAAATTGGAGAGTGCAGTATAGCTGCTAGTTAGTTTAGACACGATTTGAAGGAACATGCCGAATTCTCTAATAATGTGCTGATATGGGTGGAAGCTTTATTAAATTTCCTCCATTTTTCATCAATCTAAATGTTAGATTTTGTGCAGCTTTTACTTCAATGATTGAGGGGAAAAATGAGGAATTATCAACAGCTGAGCTTTCTGGTGGGGCACGGATTCATTATATTTTCCAGACAATTTTTGTGAAGAGTTTAGAGGTTGGACTTGCTTCTAGACTTTGCACGTGTGCTAAGCATATTAAAGCTCATACATTTTGTATAATTCTGATTTTTTTTTTAGTTTCATACGAATTACTTTTGATTTTAATAACATGAATATTTTATTACCTAAAAAAATGGCTCTTCAGTAATTTAATTTCATCGCCATGCAATTTACTTCTTAAAAAATGAAGCAAAGATGGTAATATGCATATATACCTGCAGGAAGTTGATCCTTGTGAAGATGTCAGTGATGAGGACATTCGCATGGCTATTCAAAATGCCACTGGTCCTAGAAGTGCTTTGTTTGTACCTGAGGTAACTGCTTATGTATGCATTCCTGAAACAAGAATGAAGAGAATGAATGGTTTTTTGTTCTTTTCATTGCTAGTCTTCTAAAACTCATCTCTTATCCCTTGGTGAATCTGATTAGGTTCCATTTGAAGTTCTTGTAAGAAGGCAGATTGGTCGTTTACTAGATCCAAGCCTTCAGTGTGCAAAATTCATCTATGATGAATTGATTAAGGTGTGTGACTATGCATCCACTCTTGATTATAAGAAGAATCAGCACCTTGTAATGAAATAATGAAACTTCTGTTTCTTCAATTTGGCATAGATGAGCCATCACAGCCTAGCAAATGAGCTTCATCGATATCCTGTTCTGCGGAAGTGCATGGATGAGGTAATTGGAAATTTCTTACGAGAAGGACTTCAGCCAGCAGAAACAATGATAACCCACCAAATTGAAATGGAGGTATTGAAGTAATCTATCAGTGTTTTTGTAGTGTAATAAGATGGCTTTGCTAATTCACTGCCTTGAAAGAAAAGAACCTGATTATTTAATTTAATTAATATTTTATACCAAGTTTCATCAGTAGTAATTGTATGCTTTTCAGACTGGTATTAGTGCAGCACTTTCATATGATTTAAATATTTTTGTAAAATTCTTTCCATATTGCCATTTTGATCTCCCTTTTTTTGCAGATGGATTATATAAACACTTCACATCCTAATTTTGTTGGAGGAAGCAAGGCTGTGGAGATTGCACAGCAACAAGTCAAGGCCTCAAGACTAGCAGCATCAGTTTCTAGACCCAAGGTACTTAGTATGTCATTAATTTATTTTAGCATTTTCCCCTTTTTGGACATTACTAGCATTATGAGCTCCATCCTATTTACATTCCTCATTCTTCATGAAAAAACTAATTTGAATGAGTACTGCTCCACGGCTATTTCTTTGAAAAGCTGAAGCAAAGCTCTTAAGAATCAAAACTATATTAGGCAAAGTGTTGTGGATATTTTCACTAAATCTTTATATATGTATGCAAGCTGCAGCGGATGAGCTCCTTCAAATTGAAATAAGGTTTCTCTTACGGTACACCTTATTTGTGTTTTGCATTAGTATTTTTTATAGTAGAGTGTATATTGAGTTCTGCATAGTAGATAAATTCATCATCATCATCATTGGCCTTATCCGAATTATTCAGGGTTGGCTTTATGAATCCCCATTTTTCATTTGTTCCTACCAAATGATACCTGAGGTGTTAAATATATTCTTTTCAAATCATTTTGAATGGCTTTTATCCAGGTTATGTTAGGTCTATATTTTTCTCCTTCCTAATTCATCTTATGGGTGTTTTTTTTATCCTTCATTGCACAAGCTCAGAGCAATTCTATTTTCATTTAACTTATTTTCAAGAAATTCCACTCTAATCGTTCTTATAATATAATTTTTTTTTAATTTATTATCTTATATAATAGTTTCTTTATTTATCTTTATTTATTTTTACTGCCAAAACTTGAATATATAGCATTGTCGGCATAATTGAAGTTCATAAAATTTATCTTTCAAGTTTTCTTGATATGCTATTTTTACATAATTCTCCTTAAGACTTCTCCTATTCTCCTTTTTAACAACTGATGTTATGATCATATTCTAGAACTGATGTCATGATCCTCCATTTTTTATATTATATAACCACACCATCATACTTAGTTATCATTTTATCTTCTAATGATATTGATTGATAATTGTTAATATCACACTCCCTGAAATTGCATATCATGTATTCAATCTTTGTTATATCAATTTTAACACCTTTATGTTTTAATTACTTTTTTGTTGACCTCAATAACGGTATTGACATTGAATTAATGAAATGCGACTAAAATGGTGAGCAAATGACTCGACGTCGCACGACAGTTGTTGAAAATGTGTTGACCAAAAGTCAAGATTGACAAAACCACACCCATTCGTGAAACATGCAACGCTGACACGTTCAAGGCAATCGAAGTAGCCAAAATCGACACCTATATTGGCTAATGTTTTCGATCAACAAAATTGAAAATTTATGCAGACGAGATGAGATCGAATCTATGCACATTTTAAATATATATTTATATTATTTAATCAGATAATAGCAATAATAATAATGATAATGATAAATAAAGCTTAAAACTAAAATAAATCTAACTTAATCCACTATCTCACAACTACTCACTAACCCACGATCTCTCTCCCACTCATGACACTCACATGCTAAAACCTCAGTCGAACGATCGTTCCCTCTGACTCTCTCGGTAACACATGCAGGAACTTGCATAGGCCGAACCCACTTGCCTCCCCCTTGCAACCCGACGATCCTGTTGATGTCACTCTATCCAACCGTCGTGCATCTCATGTCGAGCTGCAGTCCCTCTAGCCGCATGAAACCAACCTCACGTGAACAATCTACCTCTCTTAGTTCCCTCTCTGATTCTCTTTGTGTCGAGACTCCATAGCCCGATACCTAGGTTGGTCCCTTGCACGCGGAATACCAACCACTTGCCTGCCCGCCTGTGCCTCTCGTCGACCGCCCCTACCAAACCCTCTTGCATTAGAACCCATCTCCCTCCCTCAGTTTCTTTCTCTTACAAAGCCCCCAAACCGATGCCTGTCACCCCCTGCCCTTGCTTCCACTGGCCTGCATCAACCGGCGATCACCCTAGCAGTCGGCCCTACTGATCTCTCCTCACCTTTTCTTCTTCCGCCTTTTTTCCCTTCTTATTTATTCTTCTACTTCTTCGCATTCTTCCTCTTCCTCTCATCTACCTACCTCAATCAACTCCTATTATCGGCAATCCCACAACCGCCGGCCACCAACGGTCGACAACACAACTCTCTCTATCCTTTTCTAAGGTAAAATAATAGTATATATATCTTTATCGCTTCAAATTTTTTGTCGAGATTCATAGCTTCAAAGAGAATAAAAAAGAACTACACAAAGGTATACCTTACATTATCTTTCTCACTTGAACAACAAGTATTGAAGATCTCGCATTCCGTTGATCATAGATCTGACCCTGGCTGAGAATAATAAAATATATGAAGACCCTGCATCAGTTGTTTCTTTGATCCGGCCGGAAAGAGCAAGAACCATATGAAAACCCACGTTCCCTTGATCTTTGATCTAGCCGGAAAAGACAAAAAGTTTTTAGCCTACTCGACAACAACTCCTGTGCAGGAGAGACATCAAAAGGCTGTCAAAATTTTGATCAATAAGGAACCCTCAAAATGCAAAACTAAAACAAATATTCGAACATAAAAATATCATTTTTTAGATCAAATATAAAGTTGTATATTCATTGAAATTAATTCTCTCTCTCTCTCTCTCTCTCTCTCTCTCTCTATATATATATATATAATTATTACATTATTAAACTTATGCTAGACATAAGAAGTTGTATTTATAAATAATATCAAATGACTTCTTAATCAAATGAATTTTATGGAGCTTGTAACAGCAACATACTTAGCTTATGTCATTGATACGTTCTTGGTCTCTCTCGAGTGTGACGATTGTCACTGAAAATCGTCAGCAAACCTAAGATTTTCAAACACACCATATAATGTGAAGATGAATTTTTATCAAGATTTCTATTGAGATTTTTATTAAACACTTATAATAGTAGGTTATTTAAGTTTCTTTTTATTTAACATACACTACATGCAAATAGGTGATGTTATACTCATCATTTGATAAAATTCATATATCTCAAGCTGAATATAATGTATTTGTTCACATTATCTTAGTTGGCAACACAACTATCATCTATACTTTTGCTTTCCCAAGGAGACGAACAACATTATTAAATTTGGGAACAAAATCATAACAACAACAATATTACTTATTGACTCGGTTAATCAATGTTATTGGTTAAAGACCCAATTCTAAGTTTGCTAGCTTATGTTCTATCTAAGGGTCCTAGTAAGATATTCTGAAACGGCTTGCTTTGCACAAAATGTAAGGTAAGACTCGTAATTTAAAATCATTTAAGATTCGGGGCAAGAAACACTTGCACGAGCTACTTAAGACTTAGTTCAATTAGTTATAACTATCCAATGTCTATTAACAAATTAAAGTTATTCCTACTAATGCATTTAATGATTATGCAAAACAAGTCATTCAAATATGGGCAACTCTTAAATGGGGTAATAAGCCCATTCCAAACAAACCATCAGCTTTCTGATATTCGCAAGCCCCACCAAATCAACTTCTAAGATTCCAATGGATGTTAACCTCACTTTAACCCAATCTATCGGGTAGTATCACCTATGGTTAGGTTGCAAGATCCATAATACATGCAATTCAGAAATAGAGCAGTAAGCCCAAAATCAATCAAATTCGGGCATTCTAATGGATATAAGCCTCAAATTAATCAAATTAGGGTCTTCAATGGTTGTAAGACCAAACTCAAATTGTATTCATGCCAGCTTTCATGTTATAAGTCCAACAAATTCATTAAGCACAAAAAATCATAAGAAATTAAAATCTATACATAGTAACTTCAGTCTACTCAGGATATTTGAGAGGAGACAACCCATAGCTGTTAATCAAATTTCCTAGACGTTCTGGCCTATGGGTTATTAATGTTGGCAAGAGATCGTTGGTATTCATGGGATGACAAAACCATGGGATCTTGATCGGGTCTACTTCAATCTCTCACAAATATCTCCCATTTATCTAAAGAAATCAGAGTAACCCATTTTTAATTGAGAGTCCTCTCCCACAAGTGGGAGGTATAATTTACTATGAAGGCTTATCATTATAAGATGTTGAGACCTCAGATCTAGGGGTGTAAACGAGTCGAGTCGAGCTTGAGTCATGCTTAACTTGAGCTTAACTCGTTAGCCAAATTGCGAGCTCGAACTCGAGTCTAGCATAGGAGGAGTGCTCGAGCTTGGCTTGTGGCAGTAAAGGCAGGCTTGGTAGGTTGCTGCAAAAACAAAAAACACGGTGGTGATCTCTGTTGAAGAATTGGTGTTGCTAACAAGTTTTTCTCCTAAGAAATGGCTTGAATGAGGGTCAGCTGTGAATAATTAAAGAGCTACAGTTTTTTTTTCCCATGGGAAATGGTTGAAAATTTACTTATGTATATTTTAAGAAAAATCTGCAGCCTGCCGCTGCCTACTACTGCCTAATACAGCTTGTATGTTTTATGGGAACAAGTTGCAATCTACTATAGCTGCATGTACTATCTTCTTGGAAGTTACAACTTTGTTCATTATATTATTTTCTTAAAGAGTGAAAGATTTTTTTTTTTTTTCAAAAAAGTTTCTAATATTTATTGCGAGCTAAGCTCACGAGTCGAGATTTGTCAAGTTTGAACTCAAACTCGAGGCTCGATAAGCTCGACTCGCAAGCTCGTTATCAAGTCGAGTTTGAGTCGCCTCACGAGCCTGCTTAACTCATTTACACCCCTACTCAAATCTAAATAAACGGTGATATAAACATTGGGGGAATATGCTTAATTAAAAATATATCTACCTCATGAAGAATGGAACCCTAACTCAAAAAATGGGGTTCGTGCTTCATTTTTCCTGAGTGGGCATTATTGTTCTAATTTTTCACTTATTCTTGAGTGTCTCACTAGTTATAACTATCATATGCAAAATGCATACACTAAGGCACCTCACTTTGAAATATCAATGATAAGTATCTTCTTAACCAATATAAAGACATAGCAATTCAATGCTAATCCTTAATCTAATCTTCTTACAATTGGAAAATCTTTTGTCAATTCATGACTATTTTTAGTACTATCCAATGCTTATTATATACATTTTAAATAACTTAAATATTCTTTTGAAATGCACCTTTATGATTTAATGCACTCTAAATAATTCTTGTGATTCTTTATGTCGAGAATGAAAAAATGAGACTTTCTTTTCTTTCTAGTCAATAAAAATTATATAAAAAATCTTTTATTGTTATATATACTTTTTCCTTAATTATTTTAATAGAAATATTTCTTATATAGTTCTTTTGGCATGAAATCAAATTGGTAGACCAAACATAAATATAACATTTCGAACTTAATGTTCTATTAAAAACAACATTAAGTTAGAAAAGTTTTATTTATTTTTGCCCTTTAGTCAACCAATTTGATTTCTTTCTTATAAGAAAATTAAATCTTTTAGATTGTAAAGATTGTAAAGTCATTATGAGTAACTAAGATGAAAGGGTGTAAAATTAAAAAAATAAATAAATAATTATCCTAGGATTAAATGAGAGTACTTGAAGATATATATTTAAGAGTAAGATTCAAGATATTAAGATTTGGGTTGTTCATCAAGAAATTAATATTATGTGAGAAAAAGTAGTTAGTGTGATTGAGAATGTTGCAAAATATGGACTTGGAGAATCAAAAGGAAAAACTCCTAATAGTAAAAATAATTGATGGTGGAATACAAATGCACAAGAAAAGATAAAAAATAGAAGGCTTTGTTATAAAAAATTGTTTAGATGTAATGCTAAACAAATTGAGAGAGATGTAAAAAGGCTCATATGGATTTTAAGAAAATAATATGTGATGCAGAGAATTTGACTTATAATAATTTATATAACAGATTTGATATTAAGGAGGCAAAGCTAAGTAAAGAGATAAAAAAAGTCAATATTTAGTTCAAAGTAAAGTGCATTAAGGATGAAGATCAAACAAGTGTTTTGCTTACACGAGGATTCAACATATGTGGATGAAATATTTCAATAAATTTTTTTATGAAGTTTGTGTAAATACTATTAATTTTAGTGACTTTAGCACCTTAAATGAAAATAGAGAATTATATTTTTTTTCGTCGTATTAGTAAAATTGAAGTTGGAGAGGCTGTAAAGAAAATAAAATGTGAAAAATCAAGAGGAATAATATTCACAGAATTGTGAAAATACTTGGTAGATTAAGGAATTTTTTGGCTATCTAAACTCTTTAATATTATTTTTAAGATTAAAAAGATGCCACATGAGTGGAGAAAGAGTGTTGATTTATGTTTTTAAGAATGATGGTTGAAGAAGTGAAATGATCAAGCATGTTGTGTGATAGAAAAGTACCACTCAAACTTAATAGACAATTTTATAAGATGTTGGTGAGACCTATAATGCTTAATGATGCAGAATGTTGGCCATTAAAAGAGAAGCATAAAATTAAGTTAAGTGTTGCAAAGATAATGATGCTTAGGTGGATGAGTGGCTTTATAGTTAAGAGATATAATACAAAATGAGTATATACGTGAAAATGTTGGAGTTGCTCCAATGGTAGATAAAATTAGAGAGAGTCGCCTTAAATGGTTTAGTGACATAAAATGTCAGCCTTTTGATGATCTTTTTAGGAGACTGTAGATGTCTTAGATCCGACCTATATTAATAAAGGTAGAGGTAGACTTAAAAAGATTTGGTTAGAAAGTATTAGAAATTATCTTTTTTTTAATAGATTTAAAAGAAAATTTTGGCTCTTAATTGGACACAATAGAGAAAAAGAATTCATGCAGTTGACCCCGCAATGAGATAAAAGCTTTTTGTTGTTGTTGTAACTTAATGTTCTATTACTTTCTCCCATTGCATCATTGTATAAAGTTTGAATCTTGACTTTATCAATATGAATATCTTTTGTTCTAGTTTTTCTTAGGGGATGAATAAGGAATGCATAGTAAAATTGAATATAATATAAAATGAATGCACTATATTTGAAATGTAGGGAGTTGTTTGTATGTGTAAAATAAATATAGGAGTTCAGTTTTTTTTTTGTTTGGCTCAAAGTAAAATGATTGTAGTGTTGAGTCCAAGGATGGTGATGGCTAGTGGCTGAAAAGGGTTTCAATCTTGTCCTGAACTTCTAAAGAAGTGCTGACTGGTATTGAAAATTGAAAATTCTGTTTCTTTGATACATCATCATCAATATCAGTTTTATTTAAAAAAAGGAAAAAGAACATTTGTGACATTTTTAATAATGCGAGTAATCAAGCTGCTGCTATAATCACTTAAAACATTGTAGCTCAATTTTGGGGCTATTTGGTTATTTAATATCGATGCTAAATTTATGTACTTAAAATGTTTTTTTGTGCATATAAATAATTAGCTGTCATGATTTTATGCAACTGTTGATATGGTACTTTTGTCTCTTGTTTCTTCATTTATTGTAAATTATTTTGACTAATGTTCCTCCCAAATTGGAATGAATTCAGTAAATTAGTTGCTATCTTTTCTTTCAATATGTATGCTTTTCTTATAAAATATTTAAGACTTTTTTTACAGGATGGTTTAGATGGTGATAAGTTACAAGCATCTGAAAAGAGTCAAAAATCTCGTGGCATTCTTGCTAGGGCTGGAGCAAATGGAGTTGTTCATGATCAAGCTCTGGTGAGCCTTTTGGTACAATATTATGCTTTCATAATTTGTAACTTAAAACAACATGGACTGCCTCTATGAATCGTTCTGCCATAATCGTTCCCATTGAGAGCTGCATTTGGAGTTAATTCTGGTGCAGAATTGACTTATAAGCAATCTAGCTTAATAGTGTTACCGAGTGTTTTTTCTTCACTATTTTCACATCTTTCAAAGTTTTTTCCACATATTTGTGCTGAAAGAATTAGTGGTTCTGCTTATGTTTTTTGCAATTGAATTAACAAAGTTCCAGGATCTTTTAATGTGTTTTTCTTTTATGGAAATCTTAAATAGGGAGCGCGACCTGTGTCAGATTCTGACAGACCGGGCTCAGCTGGTAATGTACCGAGAAAAAAATATTAATCTATAAGTCAAATTTAAGAACAGAATAATCTTTCTATGCCATTTGAAATTTCATACATTTTCAGGAAGTTCAAGTGGAAGTGGACCCAGTTGGGGCATTTCATCCATTTTTGGGGTTAGTGAAAACCGTGCACCAGCAAAAGAGATATCTTCCAACAAGTCTTTAACCGTTCCTTCTCACAATGTGGAACATTCACTGTCCATGATCCAACTAAGAGAGGTTGGTGCACTATTAAATAAATATTCTCTCAAGTTTGGCTATTAGATTACTTGCATGCAACACCTAAACTGAGGTTCGCTATGCTATAGCCTCCAGCCATCTTGAAGCCTTCAGAAAGTCAATCAGAACAGGAGGCTTTGGAGATTTTCATCACAAAATTATTGCTGAAATCATACTATGACATTGTTAGGAAAAATATTGAAGATTCTGTACCAAAGGCAATTATGCACTTCCTGGTAATGCATTTTACATTTTGATCATGCAGAATCTAACTATTTTGTTTTCTAGTATAGTAGTTTATGCTTAATGATAGTCATAATTTCCTTCATCATTCTTATGGCTGCTCAGTTCTGACCTCAAGATGATAAAGGGAGAATTGATTGTTATGTTTATGTGGATCTTCTACATTCCAATATGAAGTTTGATAATTATAGATTGGGTTGTGCTTGAGCATGTAGATAATGGATTTAGTTATTCTAACGTTCCTCCAAGTTTGATGTGCTTCAAAATTCTGTCATTTTTTTTTCATTCATGCATGAATGTTTAGATGTTATTCGACTTTGTTATGCAGCTAAAATGTATGATTTCAACAAATCACTGTCTTTTTTTATTGTACTGTTTGCATTCATTTGGATTACTGTTGGGTTGATTTGGGACCAAGGTAGAAAATATAAACTAGGGAAGTTGATGTACTTTTCAGTTAAGTGTTTGGGTGAGTCCAAAAGCCTAATCTTCCTTGAGTCTGCAATTTAATGTGAGTGGCACAACAACAACAACATCAAGCCTTTATCTCAGTACATGAGGTCGGATACATGAATCATTTTTCTCAATTATGTTATGTTAAAAGTTAAATTCTCATTTAAATCTAAAAAAATAAAGGTCATTTCTAATATTTTTCTAACTAAGTCTTTTTAGGTCTACCTCTACCTTTCTTAACACAAGCCTACTTTCCTAACTGGGTCATCGGAGTGGCACAGCAAAAAAGCTGAAATTAAAATGGAAATGATTATTTATTTATTAGATTGGATGTTCAACCCCTTGCGTAGAATGGGTTGATGTTGTTTAAAGAGTGTTTATTTAGCTTTAAGTTGTGAAAAGAATGTGATTTGATTGACTAAATTTATCTTCTTTTTTCTGTCAACTTGCATATCAATCAGAAAAAAGGGGTGCACTATCACATCTATGGAGTCAGCAGTTTGAACTATTAACGTTTAAAACGCTTGATTTAATGGCAATGACCATCGTAACAGAGAGCATATGATGCATCTGATTTCTTTTAGCAGTTAATGAATTTGTAATAAGGGAATCCTTGCATTGATGTTAATATAGATTATTATCCAAATTTTTTTTTGATGTATGTTATGATTGCTATCTTGCATTTTTGTGTTGTGTTTTTTTTATAAAAAACAACAACAACAATAACATCAAATTTTTATCCCACTGCGTGGAGTCTTTTAAATCCAACTGTATAAATGAAAACATTGCCTTATATTGTCCTATGCAAAAATGATGTGCAGTGCTCTGGGGTTGATATATAGTTCGATCGATCTATGAATTTAATTGTCTAGGCCTTAGGTTGGATTGTGGCTGATCCTCGATTGTATCCTATCTGAGTCCAATCTAATAATGAAACAGACTAAAAACAATTATTTTAGTTCGATACTGGGAATGGGAGATGATTGTGGATGGAGAGAGAGAGGCAGGTATGGGGAGTGATTCGTTGGTTGTTCTTTAGCCAAATGATGATGGTGATGGGAATGGTTGATCACTTGACCAATGGAGAGGAACTGATAGGGAGGGGTTGGTGGGAGCTTTTGCAACAAGTTCGATTTTCAACTTCGTATACATCTCATAGTTATTGCTATATTAGCAAATTCCTGTGTAGTAACTAACGGCTTGTCCACTTTTTCAGGTTAATCATACAAAAAGAGAGCTGCACAATGTTTTTATCAGAAAACTTTACAGGTATTTATCAAAATAGTCTTTAATTACTACTTCAATAAATTCTTTTTTGGATAGATCTGTATGAAGGTTTTATTCTTTATTCTCGTATGATTTCAAGCTGACACTAATAAAGTTAAGCTCTATATTACTCTGTTATTTAAACCAGAGAAAATCTTTTCGATGATATGCTACGAGAGCCTGATGATATAGCTGCCAAGAGGAAAAGGGTTAGGGAAACACTAAGGGTTCTGCAGCAGGCCTACAAGGTAACTCTTTGTTTTTTTCCCGGCTTCTACAAATTTAGCGTCTGGGTTGTAGATGCAGCAACTTATAAAGATACCATTCTTTAGGGCTGACACTTGAACTTGAATATCGAATTTTGGTCAAAAATAAAATTGATTTTTAGTTTGTATCGAGCTTGAATCAAGCAAAGTAAGCTGGGTCATACACCAAAGTTTTGGCTCAGTTTGATTTTCTATCTGATTTTGAGCTAGTACTTTATTGAATTGAGCTGGCTCAAGATCAGTTTAGAATATATATATATATATATATATATATATAATTTGTTTTGGAATATCAAAAGTTAATTAAGATACAATCATTTTTTTTGGCCTGCATGAAACTTGGAAAAAGTCAATGAGTCATGCTAGGATTGTATTGAGATCAATCAAGTCAAGCTTTAACTATATTTTACTTGGCTCGATATCATATTGAATGACTTTGAGCCTAGGTCGGATTGACTCATGCTCCAGATTAAATCATTAACATCCATTGCTTAATATTATATTCATTGTTTATTTTGATGCTAGACGCTGGATGAGTTGCCACTCGAGGCTGATAATGTGGAGAAGGGTTATTCTCTGGATTCGGATGCAACCGGCTTGCCCAAAGTCCAGGGTCTACCTTCTTCATTCTACTCGGCATCAAATGATTTCAATTCACCTTACACCGCTTCTCCAAAAAACCAGAGATCAAGGAGATCAACCCACTCCGGAGAACAATTGTCATCTATGTATCCCAGCTCTGACGCCAATGGACTAGGCTCTTATCCTTCAGTCGAAGCATAAGGCCACCTGAAGCAGAAAATAAGCTGTTTTCTTATAATGAGATGACCTTCCATGGCTGATTTCTCATCACATCATCTTATAATTGAAGACCTGAAGGTTATTCTTTAATGCCATTTTCATCCCATGCATGCCAAGAGGTCCTTGTATACTAGTTGGGGTCTTTATTGCTTAAAAGTCTATTTCTTGATATATTTTTTACTCATGGAAGAAGAACCTGAGCTGTTAGATGATACGTGCATTTTCTAAAGTTTTAATATAATCAAATGGAGTGTTGGTGGCTGTATGCTACCAAAATCTTACAGTTTAAAGATATCTATATTTTGTTTATTCTCCTTTGTTTCATTTGATAGAGAAAGTATTGTATTGTATTTGTAGTTCAAATTTGGTCGGTTGCTATAAAAAGAGTCTGGATTCAAGTAATTGTAAACGATGATTAAACAAGCCTTTCTTATTCATTAAAATTCAAATTAATAAATTATTACTGCAAAAAATATCTTCCAGATGAAGCCCATCACCCCTTCTTGTTCTAGCAGTGGTGTGAGCTTCGTTATTGTCTCTACAAAATCACACTGCAGTATTATTTTGTTTAATGATTTAATAAGGGAAATTATGATTGCTAAGCATTTTTTTGGGGATAAATGAGTTCTTGATAGTTCTAACAGGAACCTTAAGGAAGTGGAGACACAGTGATGAATTGTTACAGGTTATATAAGTTTATAATGCTATATTACATAAATTTATAGTGGTGTCTTGAACAAAGCAATATATGTCCCTATAAAAGATGTAGATCAAATATGTTTGTTTTGATGATAATAAATTTTGTGGCATCTTCTAATGACTTGTTATATATTTTATTTCAAGTTGATTATTTTCTAATAATAAAAAAGATGGAGAATGGTTCTGATAACATACAAAGATTGATAACATATAAAGATTTGATGTTATTGTTGTTGTAGACATTAATACGAAAATTTCATAAAAGTAAAATAAAATTTAAAATCATATTTTACTCAACTTTATCATATTAAATCAAACTAATTCCAATATAAGAACATCAAACAATTGATAATATTTTTTTATAGTAGATATAACTTAAACATTGAAGTACAAATGACCAAAGATTGTTGATGTTCTAATGTTGAAGTTCTTTTATAAGTTATAACCAAACTTGAAGTAGCTGGAGGCAACTAGCTTTATAATACATTTGGGCCTGATTTAGAAGACAGACTCATAGAGCTCCTTGCATACTGGCCCTAACATTGAAACTTTGAGAGCAAATATTGTGAGAAATACACAATTTTCTCTTTGAAAAGCATCACATACAAATGAATCTCAAAATTGTGATGGAAACACCCAGTAAAAAATAGTTAGTTGTCTTTGTAGTAGGAACTAATCTTAATCATTGACAAATTAATCATCGAATTACAAAATAAAGTTGCCTACAAAACCCTGATAATTACTGTATTGAAATTGAATCTTAATTGAAGAGAACCCATATTTTAAAATAACCCACAAAATTCTAATAAAGTTCAAATATTTTAAAAGTGATTTTAGCATTACCTCGATGATGTATGTGTTGAATTTGAATATTAACTGGAGCAGTCCACTCAATTTTCAAAGAAATGCTCCCAAATTTCAAAGTTACTCATTTAAGTAATGAATAATAGAATATACTTGATAGGACACAAAACCTTTGCCATGTAAGTTGACTTAAATGTATCCCCTTACAAACACCCACCTCAAGTCTATAAGGCACCATGACGAAACAACCTATGGCTACCAATAAGGATCATTCGGTTAAGTTGGGTCGCTATCTCCTCTGACTAAGTAGACTAGGGGCACGATAGCCCGAGACGATGGAACTAATGAGATCTTGATCAGACTCATCATCATTCCCTTATCACCCAATTTAAGTGTACGGTGATAAATTTCAAAACCCTAACCATCCTAAAACTTCATTTTCTAAAAATTGAAGTTTTGCTCTATATGCTCGGTACCTAGTGCCTATATAATAACTAGCCTATATAATAGAAGCAAGTTTCATATTGAACAACAATGAAAGTGGCATACTTCCACCACATCGTCAAAGTCCTGAAAAAAAAAAATCATGTAGTTTGATTTACTCTTTTATAATATCAATCTAAAATCTGAATGATCATGATCAAGTTGATTCACTGCTCCCAAGTTATAAGAAAAAAATGCAAGTAAATAAATATACATTTAAATTAATAAAACAAGAAATTGATAGACTAGCATAAATTATTTAACATGAATAAACTTTGTTGATTTAATATATGTTTATTTAGTCATCATGACCAATTTTATAATACTATAATTATACACGTGTATACTTTTTATAAAAATTTTTGCTACTTCAACATTAATATTGAATAGAATTAATAAAAATCTATCGGCATTATATTATAGGGTGTATATAACAGTAGTTTATATAATATCTGAAATTATAATATATTACAATAGTTTTAAATGATGTGAATTTGAAGTGGTTAAAATCACTATGATTAATTTGATCTTAGCAATAATTTTAGAAACCACTGCAACCTACATGCTATCATAGTTCCATTTTTTTAGTAGTAACATTTCAAAGATATCATAATCTTAAATATATGCAACTTGTGGCAGATACCGGATTCAATGAGTCTTCGTAGTCAATTTATACTCTTATTTTTGTATATTTTATATTTCAACACTCTATATACCTGAAGCAGAAAATAAACTGTTTTGTTATTTGAGATGGCCTTCCATGGCTGCTTTCTCATCACAGCATCTTATAATTGAAGTCCTGAAGGTTATTCTTTATGCCATTTTCATCCCATGCATGACAAGAGGTCCTTGTATACTAGATGGGGGTCTTTATTGCTTAAAATTCTATTTCTTGATATATATATATTTTACTCATGGAACAAGAACATGAGCTGCTAGATGATATGTGCATTTGCTAAAGTTTTAATGTAATCAAATGGAGTGCTGGTGGCTGTATGCTGCCATAATGTTACAGTTTGAAGATAACCACATTTTATTTATTCTCCTTTGTTTCCTTTGATAGATTAGGTATTGTATTGTATCTGTAGTCCAAATTTGATCGGTTGCTATAAAAAGAGTCTGGATTCAAGTAATTGTAAACGATGATTAAACAAGCCTTTCATATTCATTAAAATTCAAATTCATAAATTATTACTGCAAAAATATCTTATAAATGTTTCAGGTTCTTATAACTAGTATAACCACAACATTCTGTAATATTATAGTCATCTTTGATAGATAAATGAAATACGTTAGTCTTTGATGATTGATAAACAACCAAAATGGTTACCAAATGGAGATCAAGTGGAATGTAGCTTACATGCCTTGCTTGTCCCATGCTTATCATGGCCAAAGAAGTTACAAACATAAGGGAAATAATTGATCTCTCATAAGCCATTAGTAAATTAGTCATTAAGGTCAATCGCTCTTACCAACCACATATTGTCTATTGCTCCAGTGGAAGATAAGATTAGACGGGGGTCATCTTATATGGTTGTCACATAAAATAGAAGCCTTGCGATGATCCGGTTTGGAGAATAGATGTATTAAATTTGGCTTATGTTAAAAAAAGATAGAGATAAATCTGAAAAGATTTGTTTAGAAAATATTAGAAATAACATTTCTTTGTTAGATTTAAATAAGAATTTGATCATTAACATAACACAATGAAGAAAAAGGATTCATGTCGTCGACCCCACGTAATGGGATAAAAGGCTTGACATTATTATTGTTGTTATAGTAGTCAATCAAATCGCTCTTGTTTATATCACGTGATGATATCATTTTATTTTATTTGCAAACATTGAACATAAATTTGAACAAATTACACACATATATGCATTATTAGGTGAGCGGCACAATGAACCCCTCATAAAGATTCGACATATGGATACATCACACTTGGGGTTCGCCTTTCACATCATCAACTTGTATAGATATCCCATATCAAGATGGAGAGGTGAAGGGAGCATAGACAGATGAAACTTAAAAAGAAAGAATGAGAGGCTTAATTTTGAAGGTGAGTTAGAAAGAGATGGGGGGGGGGGAGCTTCCCTCATCAACCATTATACAATCAATTATAATGGGTGGTGAGGGTAATTGTTGTCTATGTAGTAGGAACTAATCTTAATCATATAACTACAAAATAAAGTTGCCTACAAAACCTTGATATGATTGCATTGAAAGTTAATGCTAACCGGAGAGAACCCATATTTTAAAATAACCCACAAATTTTAATAAAGTTCAAATATTTTAAAAGTGACTCATTTGAGGCTTAAATTCTTATAAAATTAAAAAATTTGTGGGTTCTTGATGATGGATATGTTGAATTTGAATCTCAATCGAAGCAACCCACTCAATTTTTAAAGAAATGTGCCCAAATTTCAAAGTTACTCATTTGAGGCTTAAATTCTTATAAAATTAAAAAATCTAATATATATTAAAATCTAAAAGTTCAAATTTAAATCAAACACCAAAAGACTTGAAGAAAAAATGCATTCACTCTCCGCAACAATTTGTCAAGAAGGATAAATTTGAGAATAACTTCAACTCACAAATAGTGAATGTCCTGTTAAGTGTTTCGCTAAGATTTATTCTCAAATAATTTCTCAATAGTAAGGATGTGACACGTGCCCTCTAACTGATAATTTGGTCTCCAAATGACACTACAAGTAAACATTTATGACCAAGTGATTTTGCACAAAATGGTACAATTAAATTACAATCATGATCAGAGTTTATATATTCTCAAATGGCTCCAAACTTTTGAGCAATGAATCATAGGGTATACTTGATAGGACAAAAAACCTTTGTCACGTAACGTTGATTAAAATGTGTTCCCTACGACAAACACCCACCTCAAGTCTTTAAGGCACCATTGGACGAAACAATCTATGGTTACCAATAAGGATCATTAGGCTAAGTTGGGTCACCTACATCCTCTGACTAAATAGACTAAGAGCCACGAAAGGTAGAGACGATGGAACTAATGAGAGATCAGACCCATCATTGTTCCCTCATCACCCAATATAAGTGTACAGTGATAAATTTCAAAACCCTAACCATCCTTAAACTTCAGTTTCCAAAACCTAAAGTTTTGCTCTATATGCTAAGTACCTAGAGCCTATTTAATGATTAGCCTTAATGGAAAGTTCTCTTTTGATATTGAGGGGGGTAATAAACTATAAAGGCTTTGTGCCTATGAGTAACTATACCTCAAATCATAATATCCTCCCAAAATAAGAATTACATCTCTAGGTAGTGTCTTATATAAATACAATATGGCTTCTAAAAATTTATCATGGAACACCAATCTCATTAAAACTTTTTCTGTTGATAAAACAAAGAACAGAGAGGTTGGGCACAAATTTTCAGAGCCCACAACAATATTTAAAACTACCACACGCTATATCAAGAATGCTTTGACAATCAAAATACATGCAACATACAAATTAACAATCATTTGAAGTATTTTTATTCCCACTTATAATCATAATACAACAAAAAGATCGATGTTCCTTATATGATGATCTCCAGCTTTTCATTTTCAAGAACAAAAAAAAAAAAATAAAAGAAGAAACAAACAGTTTCAAACCACAATCCAACCCTCAAACGATAATGCTTACAGTTATATAGACCATTGCAAGTATCTCGCCAATCATGCAAGCAGGCATTTAGTTGTGAGGAAATAATTGGGAAAAAGCATATCCAGATCCATGAACATTAACAAGCTTTAAATTCAAGTATGATTTAACGCTAATTCACTAATATAAGACGCAAGTTTCATATTGAAAATAATGAAATTGGCATACTTTTTCTTCATCGTCAAAGTCATGAAAAAAAAATCATGTAGTTGATTTAACATGATCAATCTACAATCATGTAGTTAATGTACTCCTTTATAATGCCAATCTACAATCTTAATGATCATGATCAAGTTGATTCACTGCTCCCAAGCTGTAAGAAAAAAATGCAAGCGTAAATAAATTTACATTTAAATAAATAATACAAGAAATTGATAAACAAGCATAAATTATTTAACATGAATAAACTTTAGTTGATTTAATATATGTTTATTTAGACATTATGACCAATTTTATAATACTATAATTATACAAATGTATGCTTTTTATAAAAAAATTGCCACTTCAACATTAATATTGAATAGAATAAAAAAAATCTATGGAAACTGTTAAGGGGTGGCTATAATAGTAGTTCTTATAACACCAGCAATTATAATATATTACAACAGTTTTAAAAGCTGTGAATTTGAAGTGGTTAAAATTGCTATGATTAATTTGATCTTAGCAACAATTCTAGAAACCGCTGCAAGCTACATGCTATCATAGTTTCGTTTTTTTACCAGTAACATTTCACAGATATCATAACCTTAAATATATGCAACTTGTGGCAGATACTGGATTCAATGAGTCTTCATAGTCAATTTATACTCTTATTTTTGTATATTTAATATTTTAATACTCATGATCAATGCTTAATGTTATTGTGTCAATTATTGCACGTGTTTGTCATCTAATTTAGAAGTAAGATTCCAAGTATTTTTTTTGTCATTTGATTTAGTACAGAATGTTGGCTATTAAAAGAGAATATGAAATGAGCATACACGTGAAAAGGTTGGAGTAGCTCCAATTGAAAAAAATATTAGAGAGAGTCACCTTATGGCTTGGTCACATAAAACGGTGGGCTTCCGATAACCTGATTAGGAGAGTAGATGTATTAGATTTGGCTTATGTTAAGAAAGGTAGAGGTAGACCTAAAAAGACTTGATTAGAAAATATTAGAATGACATTTCTTTATGAGATTTAAATGAAAATTTGACTCTTAATATAACACAATAGAGGAAATAATTCATTTAGCCGACACCATGTACTGGGATAAAGGCTTGTTGTTATTGTTGTATTCTAAGTGTATTTCTTAGATGAAGTTATTGCAATTGTATATCTACCCCATTGTAAGATTTGTGCCAGCCTAAAAAAAGGGGATATTAAGGGGGAATACAAAAATGAGATATTAGGAGGGAAAATATCATTCCTCACATCTCTATGACGGTTTTTTTTTTTTTTATTATATATAGACCTACAAGTCATCAAAGCAGTTATGAATTAATAAAACTTTCATCATTTACATAATAATGTACAACTATAAAAGATATACATTATAAGTTTCTTCCCTTGTAAAGTTCATAATACTAGTCAAGCTTAAAACCAATCAAACAATTCTCAAAGTTTATGTCACCTTAGAGAAGCTTATCTTTTTCATCAACCAAATAGCTTAATCCCGCTTGATTGCTTAGATTATCTTAAGCTATTTGACTTAAGTTAGCTTCAACCCAACCTAACATACCCTAAAAAAGATGTTACTTTCAATGCAATTCAAAGAGCAAGAGGGAGGAGGAAAGAAATTAAATAAGTAAAGATAAAAGGCCTTAACAGATAGAAGCCAACCTATGAGATATGCTAATTCTTATCTTAATCAATTTGCTTTCCATGCAAACTCTCTCACTAAACTATTGGCCTAATCAATAAAAAGATGATATTCGGTACCAAAGCATGTATTCTAGGCCTTTAGGTTGCTAGATTTAAATCAGAATTAAAAATGATAAAAAGAATAGCAACTACGTTGGCCGATTGAAGTCATTGACCTCATTGAATGGAGAAACCGCCGTGGTTAATCAAGGATGTTTATAAAGAGTATTTCATAAAATAGCAGTCGTGTGTGTATATATGCAGAAGGAACATGCATAATGCACAAGATTGATGAAGATACATAAATTATTTCTATTATACACCATAAAGCGATAAAGAGGATGTTGAAAGACTGTTAATCTTATAAGTATAGAAGGGCGGAAAATTTTATAACCAGTAGCACTGTAACTTACGATTTCTGAGTTTAATCAGGCTAAACACGTTCTTAGCCAAACCATTGGTCCTATTAAGAAAATTTCCAACAAACTTGTGACAATTCATCTTTTAACTTCAATTTGGCTAGTAGAACATATAACTTTGGCCTTTCTTTTTTGTCTTGGACACCAATTTCGAGGGATCCCACGAATACAAACTTAGGAAGGCAATATTAATATTTATTGCAGCGAAGTAATTAAATAAAAACTAAGCAGATCTGAATATAATAACTAGCTTTATAAATCGGAATTCTTCCTATCCACTTATAATTGTTCATATAGACAATACAGATACTCGTAATCTTTTATGCAATCAAACTCCTATACCAATTTATGTGATGGTTTGAGGTCCATTGGTGCGCTACCAATCAGCTTTACTTTGTTCCAACCGTTGCAATCTTTCTCAATTTCAATGAAAAGATTTCTTAGGCTTTCAAAATTCTAAGGGCTTCTTACACTTTGCAAGCAGTGAGAGATTGAGCAAATTATTAGCGTATTATCAGAAGTTGAAAAACTCTTTAACTTTAAAGAGTATAATAATTACTTCGATATTTGCTTAGCAATCTTTAGTGCTATGGTTGTCACAATAAAAATGAATTATACAAAGAAATTACATTACTCTTTTCTTGTTAATTACAATTTATGCTAAGAGAGAAACTAGAGTACCTTTCAAAGGTCGATCATCAAGGTTTCTTCTTTTTTCCTGACTTCTTTTTCGTATGATTAGCCCGAGGACCCCGTTTGAACAGAGCCAGGATCTCTATGCTGAATGCATGCTCCAAAAACAGAAAAAGAATCAGTTAGAACGCAATATATCAGCCCTTATGGAATGCATCAGCAATGAGGAAAATCCTATAAGCGAGCACTGGCTACTTTTGTACATTTTATAAACCAGCATATGCATCATGAGGAAAATATTTCAATAAGTTGAGTTTTAAAGTCAATTTTACTTTACAATGAGACAATGAGTGTAATACAAGAGTTAATTGATTAGCTATGATTGCCACTAATCTCAAAACAAATCCAACGAGTACTGGCCAAATTTTGGCACAAATTTTCCCATGAATGATGAGTGGGGTAACTTGCAACAATAAACAATACAGAAAAGTTCTAGAAATTAAGTTAAAAAGCTAAAATGACTTGAGGATAAGGAATAGAAATAATATTTATAAAGTGATAAAATAAACGACAAGGACAATAAATTGGTTGTAGAAAATGGAAATTAGAACATATTAGATTTTATTTTTGCAATGAAGCTAGGCAATATAATAATGAGTACCAAATCATGAGAGCGATCAGATACAAATTAGAAGACAAATAATAAATAAGTTTGCATTTTACTTACACGAGGAGTATGCATAGTGTCAAAATTTAAGCAGCATGTTGTGGATGCCACTTCGCACATGATAAGAAGTGGATACAATTTTCTCGAAATCATAGAACAACAATACGAAATTAGGAAGAAGAACACACCCAAACTATTTTTATTGCAAGATATATGAAAGAAAATAGCAAGATACAATTGAATTTCAATTGGAGAGGAAGATCCGGCTCTCCCAAATCCCTAGCCATTGGCTAGAGCCCAAATAACCTAAGAATAACTAAATTCAGCAAACTCCCAAAACATCATGAAATACCCTATTGTTAGACTTAAATAGGCTCCAATAATTCCCTCTTAGATTTGAATTCAAATTAGATTTATTTCCCTAATTAATTCCCTCCCAATTGTAATAAAAACTTTCCTAAATAATCCCCCCTTATTTCCTCTTCCTTTTCCCTAAATAATTCCCTCTTAAATTTTTGAATTCAAATTAGATCTCTTGCTTAAATAATTCCTTCCCAATTGTAATTTAAATATTCCTAAATAATTTTTCTTTGATTAAGAATTTCCTATATAACTCACTATTGATTAGGAAACTTCCCGATTTGCTCCCAATCAAATCGGCCAGTCCATCAATACTCCACTCCCAAAGTGTCACCTTGTCCTCAAGATGGAACAAAATAAATTACTATTGAAGCACTTGACTAATAGCACTGGACTGAAAAAATGGGCTGACACAGGGTCAAATGATCCCTTTCTCTAGCATCTCCCTAATCAATCTCTCGATCTCATCCTTCTGGATTTGGGGATGGCGGTACATTCTCACATTCCTGCGAATGAGGCAACCCCAGAAGTGGCTGGAACACCTGTCAATACTACTGTAGGAGTAGCTGAATCATGTCTGGTGCTTCTATCTTCTCCTCATTTTCTTCTCCTTCTAAACTTTTCAGTTCCATGAAAAATTCCACTCCTTCACCCTTTCCCGTCCTTGGAAGTGGCTCCAAAGATGGCATCTCTGCTTCTTCCCCCAAAACTTCTACCTCCTGATCCTCCCTCATCATCCCTATATTAGGATTTCCCCCACTTCCAAAGTCCAATCAATGGTGCTCTCGCCTCTGCTGTTGTCAGTTGGGTGTGAAGCTCCAACAGTTTCCTTATCATTCCTTCTAGGTTGGAAAATTTTTCCTCCATTGATGTCATTCTATCTTCAAAGGCTCTTCCAAGGCATCAACTTTCTTTGCCATCATAGGTCCAAAAAAAATGCTCTGATACCAATTGGATAGGAAGTGGATACAATTATCTCGAAATCAGTGAAAACAATACAAAATTAGGAAGAAGAACGCACCTAACCTTTTTATTGCAAGATATATGAAAGAAAATAGCAAGATGCAATTGGATCTTTAATTGGAGAGGAAGATCTGGCTCTCCCAAATCTCTAGCCGCTGGCTAGAGCTTAAATAACTTAAGAATAAATTAAATTCAACAAACTTCCAAAACATCCTGAAATCACCCTATTGTTAGCCTTAAATAGATTCCAAAATTCCCTCTCAAATCAGTCCCCTTTCCCTAAATAATTCCCTCTTAAATTTGAATTCAAATTAGATTTATTTACCTAATTAACTCCCTCCCAATTGTACTTAAAACTTTCCTAAACAATCCCCCCTTAATTCCTCCTTTTCCATAAATAGTTCCCTCTTAGATTTTAAATTCAAATTAGATATCTTGCTTAAATAATTACCTCCAAATTGTAATTTAAATATTCCTAAATAATTCCCCTTTGATTAATAACTTTCCTAAACAACTCTCTCTTGATTAGGAAACTTCATGATTCCCTCTCAATCAAATCGGCCAGTCCATCACATACATTGTGACACAATACACGCAGCATCTCTTTTTTAAACTACGCCAGCAAAACCCATCCTTAATCATAACTACAGTCTTATTTCAACCAAAATGCTCTACGACACCACCATCATGTTTCTAAGCTAAGTAAATGTTATAAAGATGAGTTAGGGATGCAAAGCCAAGTTCCCTTAAAAAAAGACATTCTTAATCATGAAATCCTTATAAAGCATAGGTGAGGCATTAGTTAAATCAAGATACATCTCATTAAAATCCTTACAATTGGTGTAACCTCTTTAATGTGATTAAATTTGTTTTATTGGTTTGCATGATGTGTAAAATGTCAGCCACACTACTTAAGGCATCTGTGATTTTTTTTGTTATTTTCATTATATAATGTTTTAACACAAAAATATATTCCAGTAGGAATTTGACTCATTCAACATGCTTATGCCATAATTTCATTTAAAATTTAAGATATTTTAAAACCAAATGATCTAATTATAGAACAAACTCCTGGTACAACAACTAATGTCTCCAATATATAAGTAGTTACAACGCCATTACATTTCTTATCATAATCGAAATATATTTATTTTGCATCATTTAACTTCTCATTATAAAATAAGTGAATGTAGCAAGCGTAGCTTATTAGTTTTCAATGCATAAAGTTTTTCATTAATTTGATTTAACATACATGGACGATAGTTTGAGTAAGTGACTCTCCTAGGGTTCCCTCATCTGGGATCCCTAGAAAAGAGGAATCATCTGATAGGAAACACTTGAAGATTTCAAGTAAATCCTATCAATTTCAGAAAAACAACGAGAAAACTCTTCCAAATTCCAATAAAAACTAGAAAAAACAGTAAATTTATTGCAAGAAAACAAACTATGGAAGAAAATAACAAGATACAATTGATCCTCTATTAGAGAAGAGGATCGATCTCTCCCAATTATCTAGACGCCGCTAGAGCCCAAAGAAAACCTAAGGGATCTCAAATTTCAGATGCCCTAACCCTAGGAAAACAAACTATTTAATGCATACAATTTAAAAACAATTCTCTAAACAATCCCTACATTCAATTTCCCTCCTAAATTCCCCCAAAAATCATTCCTCAATTGCTCTATGGGCGATGGGCGGCCCGATCGTCGCGTACAGGAGGTGGAGGCTTCCGCCTCTAATTCACTTGGGCCGGTCACACGTGGACCAACTAGACCGGTATAACAATACTCTCCTCCCAAAGATACACCTTGTCCTCAAGGTGGAAGGATGGGACGTTGTTGATAGCTTTATTTAGCTACTATCTTAGTGGCCATGCTATCGTCCACTGGAACCAAGCTAAAGCTTTACCTTCCAAACGTAGGGCCGCTACCGTCAGTCTCTCCTCCTCCGTCACCCCATTAACGATGAAATATCTTTCTACCCTGTAGATCCACCCGTGCGCATCCTCCCCCTAAAAAATTGGCATCTTCAGTTTCCTCACCCTCGGGTCACACCCATTCCCCCTAAATTCTTTATAACCTCCCATTCTCGAATAGAAGGTACTCCCTAATTGTCACAATCTTCCCTCCAACGATCATACCAAAACCATTCATCAAAATCTCCTCTTCTTTTTCCTCCAAAATCAGCACCCCGGCGATCGAAATCATCCCCTCTCCTTACAAATTCAGCACCCCTTCTTGCGTAGCCAATGCTCATATCCTCCCTAGAAAGTGGTTCTAGAGGAGGCATTCCGTCTTCTCCCTCCAGAATCTCCACTTCTGCCTTTTCCCTTCCCCTAGACATGTTAGGGTTCCCATAGCCGCCGGTAGTTTCCTTTGCTTCTGATGTCACCGGTTTGGTTTTGGCTTCAATCAATTTCTTCAACATGTCTTCCACAACGGCGAACTTTTTTTCCATCTTTTCATTGACGAATGCAATCTGACTTTGAAAATCAGCAATCTTTTCCTCAAAATCTGCTTTGAGTTTCCAAAGTTCTCCCTCCAAAACTTTCACTTTCCTTTTGGCCATTGGTTCCCCTTTGATCGACGTGCTCTAATACCAATTTGATAGAAAACACTTAAAAATTTCAAGTAAATCCTATCAATTTTAGAAAAATAGCGAGAAAACTCTTCCAAACTCCAATGAAAACAAGAAAAAACAATAAATTTATTGAAAGAAAACAAACTACGGAAGAAAATAACAAGATACAATTGATCCTCTATTCGAGAGGAGGATCGATCTCTCTCAATTCTCTAGACGCCGCTAGAGCCCAAAGAAAATCTAAGAGATCTCAAATTTCAACCAAATTCAAGATGCCCTAACCCTAGGAAAACAAACTTTTAATGCATACAATTTAAAAGGAAATCTCTAAACAATCCCTACACATGGTTTAAAATTGCGCAATATGAGGCTCGCCTTTGCGCAATTCCAGTAAAAAATGCCTCGATGCTTACGCCTCGAGTTTTTTTATGAGGCTTGAGCCTCAACTTGGTTGGGCCCGCCTTGAGGCTCGCCATTGGACTTGATGCTTACACCTCACGCTATAAATATTAAAACTTACATAAATCTTGAAGTAAATGCCCGACATTGGACTCTATAAGAGAGGAGGAAGGGGAGAGAGCAGTTCATCATAATGATGATTTAAATGAAGAACCCCTTGGTGATGACAATGCTGATGACTTATGAGTTCTTATGTGATATGTCATTGCTATTTATTTTTGGAAATTGGAATTATATGTTAATGAAAAGAATACTGGGATTTGGGAAAGATAAAATTTTGAGTTTAACTATATTTCATGTTATCTTATTATTGGGATATTTTGATTTCACTTCATATCTTATGCTTTTTTATGTTTATATTATTCACTCATTAGTATATAAAAAAAAATATCATTTTATGTTTACACAATCTTTTGATTTTGAGGCTTACGCCTCGCCTCACGAATGAAAAATGCCTGAATACCCGAATACGCAATTTTAAACATTGTCCCTACATTCAATTTCCCTCCTAAATTCCCCCAAAAATCCTTCCTCAATCGCTCTACGGGAGATGGGCGACCCGATTGTCGCGAACAGGAGGCGGAGGCAGAGGCTTCCGCCTCTGATTCGCTTGGGCTGGTCCAATGGACCTGTCTAACATCATCCCACTTAACATCTCAACCTACCATCAAAAGGTAACAAACATGAAAGCAACTTATAGATTCTTAAGAAAAATGTGGAGGATAGTAAAAAGGCACATGTAATCAACAAAAGATGTGTGATTAGTTATCATAATAATAAATGAATCATCTTTATGATGATCTGATATCTAATTGTAAACATATTGAGACCAACTTAGGTTCTAATACTAATTTGATGGGGGCAGTCAATGATCTATGATTATTAATGTAACTTGGGGTAATATGTGAAATTAAACTATAACAAATCACAATCCGCATGTTACCAACAAAAAATTTTAGCAAAAAAAAAGTCTTTTTTTTTTAATGTAAAACACCAACCACACTTCACTTGCATTAAATAATAATTCAATGGTCACAAAAAATGAAATTAAACAAGAAAGATTAAAAAAAAAAACATAAAATCAGTAACAAACAAGTTCACTCTACATAAGAAATTTATCATATATCACACTTCATAAAGTTCTAATCACACACACAAATTACAAACTAAATAAATTAAAATTAGAACAAAGATTGAAATCACTCAAAGGAAGAACTAGGACTCATGCTGGTTAGTACCAGGGAACTCAACCTCAGAAGTAATAGTAAAAAAATATTAAACACTCAAAGAATGCAATCGAACAAGCACACCTGCAATAATAAAGAAAAACTATAATTTTACTTTCAGTATACAATGTCCAAAGATTTTTACATGCCTCATGGGTGGTACTGTAGGCTACAAAGGACCAAAATAAGAAACTTCTAAAGATTTGTTAAGATCTGTTCAAATAAATAAAGTTTTAATAAATTCTAGGAAAGTTGGCAACAATAGGTAATGAGAAACAATGGCGATAGTGAAGAAATAGAAGGGGTTGTAAGACAAACAACCTTGAGCTAAAGACGGAAGAGATGATAGAGAAACTATAGTAATTAGCAGATAGAAGAGGAGGTAGCAAGGTTGTAGTGAGAAAAAAAAAAGGAAACAATTGATTTTAGCCAACAACAGTGCAATAACAAAAACAGAGGTGGCAACAAAAGAATAGCAGCAAGCGGAAAAACTGGTGGCATAATAGGTACAACAATAACAAACATAATGGGGACAATACTGCGAAATAGAAATAATAGCAACTCAAATCATAGCAATGATTTGGAATCACATATGTATTCAATTTGAATTCAATGGATTGAGTTGAAACTTTTCATTAATGAACTAAATCTAATAGAATGCTCAAAATATTAGAGAACACGTTCAATTCATATAGGAATCATCATTATAGACATATTTTACACAAAATACATTGAAGAAAATAAAATACAACAAGAAAACTCATAATGCTCATTTTCTTTTGTGCTTTCAATGAATGTAGACATTCAAATTTCCATTAGACAATGAGTTTTCACATATCACAAACCTTGAGCTAAAGAAACACTATCGTTGCCAGGTCCCAAGCCCTGGAAGAGAAAAGTATAGGGTTGTATTAGGTAGCTGATAGTCAGCATAAAACTTATCGAATAATCATGATATGAGTCCTTTAATATATTATGTTAATGCTAGGGCATTCCCTAAAAGCAACACGCTGTATGGCTTAAATAGAGCGAGAAGTGTGCAATGGCCGCTGCACCAGTGCTCGGGTGAGGTGTTAAATAAGCAAGGGTTACCCCATCATGAACGGATGTGGGAAAAGAGTTAGTCTATGAACTAGAATTAGGATAGAAACATAGAATATATGCTCTCTTATAGACAAATTAATAGAATTAATAGATATTATGATTCATAGAAAGATAAATATTCTATGCGTTTAAGAAACTAAATGGGTTAGAAAGAAGGCTAAGGAGATTGATAATTTTGAATTTAAACTAAGGTATTTAGATAGGATTGGTACTAGAAATTGTATATGTGTGATTATAGATAAGAGTTTGAAAGATAATGTTATAGAAATTAATAAAATTGGAGATAGAATTATAGCTTTAAAGAATACTATTGATGCTAAGATTATAAATATTATAAGTGTTTATTCTTCTCAAGTAGGTTTCGATTTGTATTTAAAATTAAAATTTTAGAATGACTTGGAAGAATTAATACAAATGATGTCTCATGAAGAAAGCTTTTATTGGAGAATATTTAAATTAATATATTGGAAGAGCGGTAGGAGATTTTAAAAATATTCATGGTGGCTATGAGTTTGAAGCGACAAATAAAGATGGTAGGACCGTATTAGATTTTGCCCTAGCTTATGATTTTATAATTGCTAATATCTATTTAAAAAAAGAAATGAGCATCTTATCACTTATTCAAATGGATATAGTAAAACTCATATTGATTATGTTATTACTAGACATTTGCAAGAATATGTACCATGGTATATGCTTTTCGCTAATGATATTCTTCTTATTGGTAAGACTAGAGAGAGAGAGTTGAAGGAAATTTTGAATTATGAAGGTCAACCTTAGAGTCTAAAGGTTTTTATTTGAGTAGATCTCAAACCAAATACATGAAGTGTAATTTTAATAGTAATAGATATAGTGGGAGGACTGTGACTTTGGATGATCAATTCATAAAAAAGAGTAGATATTTTAGATATCTCAGGTTTATTATCAATGCTTTAAAAATCGGACTGGACCGGCCGGTCCGACCGGTTCAACCGTGAACCGGTCCAAAGGCCGATTCGGTTCAATCCAAAAACCGGCTTATCTTCAAACCGGCCGGTTTTGTCCAAAACCGCCGGTTCAACCGGTGAATCGGCGAACCGGTCACGGTTCTCTTGAACCGGCCGGTTCAAATTTTGTATTTTT